GGGGTAATAGTTGTACAGCCCTTTGCAGCCTTCTAAGCACTTTTACGTAGTCTGTTTCATTTAAATCTAAGAATCCTACGAGGGGTCTAAGTATTAGTATACGTACTGAAGGAGTAATTAGAATTCTGGAATCATACACCTATTTATTATCATGACATGGTGAAGTCAAATTAATTATTAGTTAAAAATGGCTATTTTAGGTAGTAGATCTTTTTGTACCTGGTATCTGAGAAGCCACTGGGGCAGGAAGACAAGGGAAGAAGAATTTGGGAGGCTCTGGGGGTTCAGGAATGGAAAAGAGGAAGAAAGAAAACATTAGGATTCAGAACAAAGCTGGGCTTTAGTAATGACTAGCTCCCGGGTCCAGAGATGTGGGAATAAAATACCAGCGCGGAGACTGTAGTGGACGCAGAGTGGAGAATGGGCAGGTGTGGAGGTGGGCCCGGCAGTGCTGGATCAAACGGCTGGGGCGGGGCCGAGGATAAGGAGTGGGGCCAATCAATGACGGGCGGGGTTACGGTTGGGCGGCAGATGGGCGAGGCAGGCAAGGCAGATCCAATCCTTGGGTGGGCGGGCTTATAGCGAGGCCTGGAGTGGGCGTGGCCAACGTGGAGTGGGCTGTAGCGGACCCTGTCGGACCCACCGTCTGTGCGCGCTTCCGGGTGTCACCCCCAGAGGGCGCCGTCCGCGGAGCCGTCCGCACAGTTTCGAGGCCGTACCGAGCGCAGCGCCGCCCCACTCCCCCCAGCCGCCGCCATGAAGGCCGTGGTGCAGCGCGTCACCCGGGCCAGCGTCACAGGTCAGTCAGGCGGGGCCGGGCCCGGGAGGAGCCGCCCCTGAGCCCCGCGACCGGCCGTCCTGCGTGGGGGGTCCCCCTGCGCCATCCTCCGGATCGCCGCGGCCCCTCCACGAACTCGGTCCCCGTAGCCCTGAGCCCCCGGGGCGACGCCGCGGCCGGAGAGCGCCTTGCACGTGGCCGGCGCGTCCCTGGCTTCAGGATCTCGCTAGGGATTCAGGATAAGCCCGTCATATTATTGTCACCGTCTTTTGTCCTGTGTACAGGTGGGAGAAGCTCTGAGCATCCCCGTGGCCCGTTCTTCTGTGGAATGTTGCACCAACAACACAGTAGGGAGCGTTTCCGGAGCAGGCACTCGTCCCTTTCCACAGCTCTATTTTAAATATTCTATTTTTGTCCATTTTTACGTATCTCAATTGTTTTTGGAGCTTGAAGATCAATAGAACGCACAGGTGTGAAGAGTCATTTGGCTGGACTCTGACTGTGGACCGCGCGACCAGCAGCCGGCTGGAGGCAGAGCATCCCCTTTCCTCCCCAGGCCGCCCCTCTTCCTCACTCACTGAACCCTGCGGTGATGGGGTCGAACATACCGAATTCAATGTGAAATATTTCTCTTTTTAACTAATTTCTTGTGGACCAAACCATTAATCCATTAGTTTTTATGTGAGCACTCTATTCTAGGGTGAACGTCAGAGGTTTGGATGATGTTGTTTTTAAAAAACACGGTAGGAATTTAAAAATATGTAAATGACAAGTTTTTTTGTTTTTTGTTTTTGTTTTTTTGAGACAGAGTCTCACGTTGTCGCCCTGAGTGCCATGGTGTCACAGCTCAGAGCAACCTCAAACTCTTGGGCTTAAGCGATTCTCTTGCCTCAGCCTCCCAAGTAGCTGGGACTACAGGTGCCCACCACAATGCCCGGCTGTTTTTATGTTGCATTTGTCACTGTTTTTTAGCCCAGCCTCAGTGTATGTGGCCGGCGCCCTACCCACTGAGCTATGGGCGCCGCCTTGTTGTTAGTCTTTTATGCTTTTATTGGCAGAATTATATTGTTTCAGTTTAAATAATTTCAGATATCTTGTCCTGTTGGGTCCGAGAAAGCCTCCCAAATCAACCCCAACCGACAAACTCGAGACTCACTCCGATGTAAAGGGCATAAGATGAGATTTATTACAGACCCGGGA